GCGAGCTAACATGTGGCACATGTGTGTGACACGGCGTGGGTGAGAGTCACAGAACAGTGTAACAGGCACTTTCCTTTAAAAATGATCTTTATATTGCCCCCCAAGCCATATGTCGAATGTTGGATTATGCACCCGCTATCTGGAACGTATGTCATAAATAGTTTATTATGGACACAGGAGATGATCGACACAGGCTAGTTCCCAATGGATATATCCGAGCAAACAAAGATGGATGATGCGTCCTGAGACATGGGATGGTATCATGATGCATGGATCGTATTGTTGGGAACCTATATGACAATGAGATGCAACATTAAATGTGTCGCACACGATTGAACATGCGTGCATGAAAGACATGTGTAGCCGAACAAGTTTGAATTTCACACAAGTTGGTGTTTGTTTTGCGAAGGCACACCTCGCCGACAGACAAATGAAGCCATGAAACCAAGCAAAAAATGCGAATAGGGCTTGAGTCCACCTTAATGCTTGCCGTGAATATATCAAGTACACGACGCCGCATGATTGAAGAAGTACGAGCAGCTTGTTTGTTATTTGAACTACAAAATATATATATATATATATATATATATATATATATATATATATATATTCTTAAAATTAAGCCTTTAAAATTGAATTTTAAATTCCCACCATTCAAATAAAATTCAACCAAGACTTTTGTACCATTTATAATCATAATAGATTAGAAATCAAAGCTCCACTAAAAACCTTACAAATAAAAAATAAAAGAAAAGAAAAGAAATAAAGTTTGATTTTGAATCAACCTCCCTTCACCACGTGCCTGAATCCCCAACACAAGAGCGTGAAATATGGCGCGCGTCTTGCGAGTGTGCTGCACATTAAATAAATTAATTTAAAACAAAAATAAAACCATTGACCTTTTCAACCAAAATCGCCTCCTTTTTTAATTGACCATTTTCATTTCATTTCATCACTATTATAAATCCCCCACCAAATCGAACCATTTCCACATTCACTTCACATCTCCCATTTCTTTCTTCCTCTCTAAGCTTCCACCTTTCATTGGGTTCTTCAATGGCGAACCTTTTCAAGCTCTCCAAATTCATCTCTGTTTTTGCTCTCATTCTCTCCCTCTCTGTTTCTTCTTCATCTTCCGCCAGATTGTTGCGCGATCTCTCTCTCTCACCCGCCGCCTTGCCGGACCTGAAACCTGACACTCCGGCGGATCCTACGACGGCTCTGGCGATGGAGTATGGGGCTTTGCTTCTTGGGTTTCTGCCGAAGGGGGGAATTCCGCCGTCGGGGCCGAGCAAAGGGACCAACAACCTCAACAGTTAGAGTTTTTGCTGGGATTCTGTTCGGTTTTGTGTAATGCTAATCATTTGTTAATGTAAAATGTAAATACGCATCAAAAAGCGATGTAGATTAAGGGGTCCGATGTGATGATATTTCATTCATTGTTTCATTATTATGTAATTATTTATGATATTAATGTCAACGGATTAAATTTTCTGTTATTAATCTCAAATTTGTGGAGTGCATACTTCGGTGCATATATAAAGCATTGATTTGTTATATAGTTTTAAGAGGTTAGTATTTGCAGGTGACATGATAAGAATGTGGGAGGTCGAGAAAATCGAGTAAAATGAAGCTCAGATAAGAAAAACATGTTGACATGCTTAAAGAACAGAAAGAAAAACTTGGCCTCTGCTATAATTATAAATATTTTTTCCCTTATAATTGTGAAATATAAAAACAGTAATTAATTTTATGCAGCAGTATTTTCAACGGTTTGGACCCCATTTATGTGTAAATTCAACGCCTTGATTCAAACTCTATTAAGACCTTGTTTCTAAAAGTGTAGGACACAATGTCAAAAACATATATCTAATGATGGATATAAAGCACAACAAACAAAACTAAATAACATTCAGTTTATTGTGTTTTCATTTTATTACATTTTAGTCTCTATATTTTTAATAAACAACTATTTTAGCCTATTCAATTTTACTTTATTTTTTATTTTTTTTGTCACAATTTCAACAAAAATACTATGCTAAAATGATTTAAAAGTTCTTTTTGTAAGTAGGTGTGAAAATTTTGAATCTAAAATTGGAATTGTACCCAAAACCCTAAACAATTGGAAGGCACGGCACAATATAAATTTTGATGTTCATCAAACTCGTAATTAACATTTCATTACAATTTTTCTTTCTCGGGGTCGAGATTCCGGACTTGATTTGCGGGAACTAAATTCCACACCTATCCCACTATGATTATCCATACGTCATTTTAATCAAAATAAGAATTTATATTTAATAAAAACTTGAAAGGATCATATATATAGAGATAAAAAATAAAGAAACCGATACGGAAAAGTTGATACTACCTCACCAGTCATGAAAAATCTCACAAGGACAATGAATCTCTAGCCAAAACAACCTCAGATATAGAACGATACTATTCGAAAAATCTTCACGAGAATCCCTAATGGCCGAACCAAATTTTACATAAATTAATTGAAGAAAGCTAGCAACCTCTTCCGTGACATTGGACATTGCTACGTTGAACCATGTGTTGCAGTTATTTATAACCCCCCCAAAAACAAAGTTCTGAATGATGGACTATACGTAAAATGGATATGAGAGACGGGATAGATAGTCACGACATCAAGTCCTCGTTAAACCAAAAATTTATCAGATTTCAGAAGTACAGCATAATTCCTTCAAAACAAAACCCTAAAATATATCGAGAAATGCTAAATAAAATTCAAGTTCACCAAATTGCAGCAACCATGAGAAAATTAAATAGGGCATATAAAGGGGTTCCTCTTCAGGGACGGGGAGGAGGAGCTCCAGCTCCAGCTCCAACGCGAGGGGCCTGTCCTGGCTGCCCAGGCTTTGGCATATCATCCTGAGAAACAAAGGACAAAGTTCAACCGTCAAAATATGCAACAGCAATAGAAACACATTCAGAATAGAGATGATCACTATAAGCAGCTACGAACAACCATAAATTGTTAAAAGTAAATAAACGAACAAAACAACTTTCCCTCTCAAAAGTTCATAAATCACCAAGTAAACAAAATAGCAACCTTACATTACCAGAATTGTGAGACTCGTAAGAAAAAACAAGAAGGCCAAGAACAATGGAAGTAAAAGACGATTCATGAACCAACAAAAGGACACAGGTTAACACCAGTCATTAAAGTATGAAGAGGGTATATTCAATGATATATAAACATCACAACTTCCAAGAGCCAGTGTCAACAATGATCCAGTAGTAAATTGTGAGAATTGTTTGAAAGAATAAGAGGATCCGTACTCTAAACATTGGCCATATAGAACTGTAGTAACAATTATATAACTCAAGTTTTAATTCCTAGCAGGTCATCGCAAAATTAATTTACAAACATATCACTCAACAGGCTCGTACGATTTAAATAATTGAAAGCCTAGAAAGTGAATAAAAACGATAGAGCCAAAAAAATGAAAGTAAGCTAAATGAAAATATACCCTGCGTCTAATGAAGCGCTGTGGTGGCTCACGTTTCCTCCTGTCAGTGCGTGATCGAACCCTCACAACGTGAGAGTGGATAGCACAGGAAACACAGTACTGCATCTTAGCATATAGCTTAGGAAGAGTGTATTCTGTACCAGAGACAAACATTGAAATTATCATTCATGTTGTAATAATGGAAGGTAAAGAAATAATGTGTTAAGAAAAGGATAATACGATCATAGACACACGCTTCCTGAACATCCCTAACAGCTGCCTGCTCCACGATGTTCCTAACAAGGAACCTCTTAATGGCCTTATCCTATTCGCGCCAATAAGAAATCACATAATTAGACACAGTAGACCAAAATCACACAGATAATTGCAAATATGTACTAAATCTGACCCTATGTAACATGAAAATTCAAGGGAGTCAGCAACAGAACAGGAAAATTTAAAAAAAAAAAAAACGCTGGTGAAAAACACGAATCATAGTTCAGTGATGGCGGGACATCGATAGCGATTATATTGAAAAAGCGTCTAGAAAAAAAAAATCCAGATGCGTGTACATTGTTTGGCCATTACAGATAAAAAAAGATCGATAGAAAGACAGACCTAAACCTAAACTATTCATTGACATCGGAAAGAGATACCAAGGCAACAGAGGAAAAAAAAACCCTAAGTACCTTGGGGCAGCATTTACCACAGTTGGAGCAGCGGATGAATTTCACGTGTCCGCGTCCATGCTTGTTGCGTCCACCATTCCTGCGCTTGAAAGTCTGAAGCAAAAGCAAGATTGTCAACAAAATGTTAGACAAAATCGAATAATCCAAACGGAGGTGTGAGGGATTAGGTTACCATGGTTATAGTCTTCCGGATGGACGAACGAACCAGAGAGAATCAGCTATCTCTTCGCGGCTGAATTAGGGCTTCGAGAGGATGCTACCGTTCCTTTTATATGTGGGGGAGCAGAAGGTGACCTAGCCAAACGAAATCCCAAATTTAGTACATTTGCAAAAAGAACCCCCCGTGTTATTCTATTTTTCATTGTCTGCCCAAAAACATGGACTAATAGCAAAATATTAAGTATGAAATTTACATTTAAAATTTATTAAAAAATCTTGCGAATATTTTTATTTTTTTAAATACGTTTTTTTATTCTAGGATATTAGATAATTTGTATTAAGAAGTAGAAAATGGTAAAAGGTTTATTTTTTAAAAACTATTTTTTCTGTCTAAGACTGTTCTTATTAATTATTTAATATATTATTTTATTGTGGGAGAGAATTAAAATGTGGGGATGAAATATTTGATGAGGTTGTTATGCTTATTATCAAATTAAATTAAATATATTAGATTTGTATGTTTATTTTACGTTCATTTCAAAGAGATAACAATAAATTTTTATGATAGTTAAAACTAAAAATATATATTAAATTTTAATTATTTTAATATAAATTTAAGTGTGTGTATATATATATATATACACACATATTATTTAGTTATTTTGATATAATTTAATGTTGATTGATAAAATTCATTTCCAGGGCATGAAGAAAGAGGAAGGCTTAGAGCTTGGAAATTAAAATTTCTTCAATTGCGTGAAACCGTTTCTAGCTTTGGCGTGGGAACTCTCGATCATATAGAAATCTCAAGAACGTTCCGAGCTGCAATTTTGACTCTGAAACGTTCCTCTACAGAATTCAGTCTGGCCAGAGCAATTCGGAAGTGCAACGGTAGGTAATTCCGGTAGCGCCGGTACTGTAGAAGGCGACGGCAAAGATATATCCTGCATTTCATGTGACCGGCAAGTTTCACTCCGCCAGTCTATGGGTGGTGGCAAAGGTATTCAATTCTTCTCCCGCTAAATTTATCAGTGTCTTGATCAATTTCGCTCGATTCCTCTGTTCCCCTTTCGAGAATTGATGTTCAATCTGTTAGCTGCAATCGCCGATACTTTAGGGTTTTGATTTTTTATTTTTATTTTTCCCGAAACATAGGATTATATGAAGCTAGAATTCAAGTCATCAAGTGTGTTCTGAAATGGTTTGCTGGATTCGTCGATATTCTGTTCATTTATCTGTTTCTATTTTTGTATTTGAATTGAGACTTTGACCGGTTGAAACTTGAAGGTGTTTGTGATCTTTTGCTTTGGGAAATGGACTCTATATTGCCTTGAATCCAGTTTACTTCAAACTTCGAGAATGGTTTTGATGTTCCTTTGATGTGTATTTGAGGGAAGAAAATGATGATATTTCCTTTTCTGTTTTGATCATCTAGAATGTTGACTCTTTTGCTACTTCTGCATAGCGGCTGATGTTCTACTGCGGAAACAGCGGCATGTTTCTTTCGGCATTGTTGTCGTTGCGACCGTGTTTTGGCTTTTAATTGAGCACTCTGGGATGCCATTGCTAACAATAAGTTCAGATGTCTTGCTGGTTTTGGTTGTCCTATTGTTTCTTCGTGCCAACTTTGCTGCGCTTCGTCTCAAGTATGGCAATGGCAGACTTTTATTTTGATTCACTGTGAAGTTCTTCCATTTCATAATCTTTAACACAGTACTTTTTCCCATATTATCTTCTTCTTTCAAGAAGATGGTATGTTTTTCCTTGTTAGCTCTTCTTCACAGTGAATCGACATAGCATACATAGCATTTCACAGCAAGAATCACATACATAAACATGGCATACATAAACATCTAGCCTAGCATACATCAACAATACACATGGTGCTTGCAAGGGCACACACCAACATACATACATAACTAATACCAACAGTAAGTTTACTTACCTCTTTGGCCTTGGCCGAAGTCACCCACAAAGCTAACTCCAGCAATAACATGATACACTTAGAGCCCTTTCACAACTATCCCTTATGCCGAACTACCAAGGTACGTCTTTATCGCAAGCTATTTTGTCAACATGGAGTTATACTGACCTTAGATTGTTGAAACAAGGGTGGGAATGGCTCTAGGGGTCGAAAACCTAGGAATCGGTATACTATTCGGATGTCGAGACGTCGAGCCGGGAGTGCGTTGAGCCGCCGATGGAGCTGAAACCGATGGCTTCGACGAACACTGTCGGCGCAGGGTCTCTGGGCGCGCCTCCGGTTTGGGCCGAAAGGGAACGAGGCCCAGGGATGGTGTCCGAGTGCGGCCTGCGAGGTGCGGGCTGCACGCTGGCCGAGACGACTCGCGGAATGCCGAGGGCCGACCCACGTCTGCCGCTTCGTCTTCGTCTTCTTCGTCTTCCTCGCGGTATCAGAGTTTGGCTGCTGTCGCCGGTGGTAGTTTTTCCAAGGACAAGGATCAATGAAAAATGCTGACTATAATTTTCTTAAGTTGTATTAAACCACAGGAAAATTGTAACACTGTTTCATCCCAAATGAATGCCTGGCTAACTGGACTCTTGAAGGCTATTGCTCGGCCGTGTATACCTAGGTTTAATGATTTGATTTGAACCACCCTGATCAAATATCACAGATTCTTGTTCTTAGTTGCTACAGAAAAAGATGAGGGTTGGTTTGTTTATCAAATTCCACTTTGTCAAATATGGATCAGCCCACAGAAAGGCCCATTGTTGAATGCCAAACAGATATGGATCATTCACATTTGGTATATTGTTCCACGTAAATGCCACACTTACATATATAGACGAACAGATGAAAAGCGTTATAATTGTGGGAAAAGTCAAAAAAAGGGGGAAGAGAGGAAAGTGGTGTCCCATTAATTTGATGGTAATATGATTTCTCTTCTCCCCTCCAAAATATCGTTTCATATCATAAACTCATTGTACTCTTCCCATATCATAATTTCTCTGTTTTTTTATGTCAAATCACAATTTAGCATACTTTAACCCCATCCATTTGGTCGTAATATATTTATTTTGTTGACATAAGAGTATTATTTTGATTGAAAAAGTATGAGAAAATTTAAGACGAGTCTTGAATGTTAATCAATAGCTGATTACATTAAGCGTTCATTAATTCTCACTAATGACATAGCACGAGAAAAATAAAGGATTGAAATTAAAGATGGGGGGAAGAACTGTAATGCAATGTCCTCATATCAATAAATTGAGAGAACTAAATGGACAATCCCTTTGTAAGATAGGGAATGGGGCTGAGATAATTCTTGTATCCCCAAAACCAGAACTAATTCTTCTACACACACTGTTTTCCTATATATTTATAGTCATCTGTGTGTTTTCAAATCCCAAAGACCTTAGCGGGTGCGAGTTAACCACCACGGCAATAGTCAGCCACTGTGGACGGCGGCCGGAGATCTACCTAACCTACTATTAATTATTATTTTTTATTTTTTTCTAATCAAGCTCTTGAAATTTGTTGTTCAGAACTGGGCACCCTCAAAGGTCTGACCGAACTGCCAGTTGCCCGGAACGATGTCGTAGCTAGTCACGGTACGGCCGTCACTGGTGGTGACTTGGAAAGAGAGGCTTTGTCCGTTAAAGTAATTGTTGCTTTGCCAGTTCTGTCCCCAATTTCTAGACATGGCTTGCCATTCTGTATTGGATCCTTTGATCGACACCGATTGGACGTCGCCGGCGCCGCCGACGTTGGTGATCAGAACCAAGTTGAAGTATGAATGCCCCTTGATCGTGAACCTTATTCCTCCCTTCTTCACGCATGGCACTCTGTTATTCATTAAAAAAAAAAAGAGAGAATTAGAAAGTAAAGATAGAGATTTAAACCATTTGTGTTAATTTCTAGGGACTCTGACCTTCGGAAGGAGACGGGAACAATGCCAGCACTGTACTGAGCAATCTGAAGGAAAGCAGGCTCAGCCAAATCAAAGTGCTGCAGAGGAGGATTGCACCAGCCGCCATCATCATTGGGCAGAGCGTAGTTGGGCGGGCAAAAATTAGTGGCAGTCACAATGATTTTTCCAGGAAGACACCAATTGGGATCACTAGTGCAAGTAATCTCATAGCAAGAACCACAGCTTAGCCCATCGTTATACAGAGCCGTACTCAGCGCCGCCGTGTTCGTTCCGTATCCTTGGCTGTACAAATCCCCATACCCACAAGCCCCACCTGTTCAAATACCCAATTCCCCATTACCACACAGAACCCAACAAATTAAAAAAAAAGAAAAAAAAAACGAAGGGCAGTTCAGTTTAATCAATTACCCATTGTCCCGGACGCGTCGCCGCCGCCGTAGAACGTAGCGTGGCCTGACTGCAACCCGCCGTAGTCGGCGGAGATTGCAGGGAGGAAAACTAGGAGTAAAACGGAGAGAGGAGAGATTGGTAAGGGCGCCATTGAAGAATTGTGTAGGGGTGAGAGGTTTTTGTTTGGGTTTGAATGGGAAATGGAGGGGTATTTAAATACACGGAAAATAGAGGCCGTTACGCTATAATTGTATTTTGTGGTGGATATTGGGAATATATATAAAAAAATATAATTCATAAATATCAATATTAAGAATTTAAGAGGGTCTCATTAATTAAAATTAAAATTAAATCAAAGCACATGAGAGGGGTCGTGTACGACCTTTTTTCTTAAAAAAAATAAACATAATTTAGTCGATATAAAATAAATACACTGGTTTAAAATTCGAATCATCTCATATAATTTTTTTAAGAAACTCTTTAATCAATAAAGGATCTAGAATATTCACGGGAAAATGTTAAGCTATTTCAATCTATGTTGTTACGAAATTTATAGTATAGTTACCTACCCTTCTTACGTTTTGTTTTTGTCTTTTTAATTTATTTTCAACCATTGTAACAATTATTTAAAAAAAAAAGGAAAAAAAAAAGATAAATCTAAATATAGGGTTTAAATAAAGTATTATAATAAAAACAATAATATTCCTATTCCATGAGAAATAAATAATAATTATAATGAATTTTAAATTTAAATACTTATCATCCTAATAATAATAAAAAATGAATAAAAAGAATTAGGACAATAAAAGGAATATAATCTAAGTTCTCGTTTCTTTAACCATCCCTGAAAAAGAAAAAATTTAAAAAAAAAAACCTCTACGATCTCTTTTTATTTGAGATAGTCTTGACGGCTTAAACTCATGAGATTAATATAATTTTAGTTTTTTTACCTTAAAATTCACAAAATTATAAAACTCGGTTAAATATAAAATTCAATATTTATTAAAATGTTATTACAATTTATTTTCATTAAAAAAAAAATTGGTCGACAGAGAAAAGAGCATCTCTGGATTAAAGTATTATTTAATAAAAATAATTATAATTAATAACACAAAGCTTAATTGAAATGTATTTATGGCTACGGTTTGAAATTAATATTCTAAATTTATTAGATTAGTTCAACTCCCCATAGCAAGGTTGACATTATATTCATTTGTAGAAATTTTAATTTTTTTTTAGCGCATGACTTAAACATAAATAAATAAATAAATAAAAGTGACTAAAATATCAATAAACCATATCAAATTAACCTGAAACCCCAAATTAAATCCGTAAATTTGGACTCTAATTGAAAATGTTCACTATTTTCAAATTTGACTTTGTTTAGCCATTTTTTCAATACCCCAAATTTTGATTCTTTATATATATATATATATATGTGGGTCTCAATTATTTATTTTAATATATTTTCATAACCCAATATAAGTAGTTGTGAGCAACTATACAACTAAATTATTTAATTTTTATTTTCATTAACTGATATCTAATTGTACTATAAATGTATTTTTTATAATTTATAGCCATAATTTTCAATGGCTAATAATAGCTATACGATTCTATACATACAAACACACATATATATATATAAGGACTAGTGATAATTACAAGAAAGAAGTTGTAACAGTTGTAATCCAGTATCAAAGTGCCAGTCACAGGTGGTGTGCTAGTAATTCCCAACTTCACTTGTGCGATTTGTGGGGTTGATTGGTTGCATCCATCCTCAACCCTAATGAAATTGAACATTAAGCAAAGGATGTTGGACTCGGGGTGAATTGTTAGAATGAAAATAGAACAAAACATTTTTTTATAAAAGTGTAAAAACTCTTTTGTTTTAAAATAGTAAAGGTGAAAACCACACATGATAAGTCAAAGGAGACAACATTTTGTAGTCATAAATTGATATGCCTTCGAGTAATTCCATCCAATTATTATTATTATTATTATTATTATTATTTTTTTGTAAAAAAAAAAAACTACCAAATAAATTAAATTAATCTCTTTTGGAAAACTAATTTATATCCAAAACCCACAAATAAAATCAAAGTCAAAAAGAGTCCTTTAAATCCCAAATTTTAAAATTAATTTATGGAGATATGAGGTTTATTTTAAATCTTTAAAATAAAAAAATAGATAATAATAAAATGGGGTCCACCATGTTAAGGCGACACATGGAAGGGCCGATTTTTGCGCTTCTATTTAAAAGAAAAATCCAAATATACATATATTGTCAGACACCGACTTCTGTTTTCCACTATTTTTTTTCCTAATTTTCTATTTCATGTTTTTTTAAATTTTAATTTATAATTATAATTATATTTTATATTTTATAACTTCATTATTTTTTTAAAATATGGTTGAAAATGTAATTTCAATTTATAAGTATAATCTCAAACCGACAAGATTAGAGATCAACTTGTTTAATCACCAGAAATTGCAGAGCCGTACATCAATTTGAACCAACTATAAAATAAATTATAATAATTAAAAAGTATTTTATATACTATACTATTTAAATATTAATTTCATCTTTTAAAAAATTTAAGTAATAAATAAATAACATTTTTAACGTTAAACTTAAAATTTAGTGTTAAAACTGTAGATATTAAGAGTTTTTTCAACCTTAGCATTAAAAAAGAAAAGAAACCAAAAAAAGAAGCAAAAGAAAGAAAGAACCAAGCTAGATACCAATGAAAGTTCATTTTTTTAAGGAAGAAATTAAACAAAATCTTCCAAAAGTGTGTGATTTTATAAGGAAAAAACATCATAACATAAAGTTGCAACAAAAAGACAATACAATGTAATAGAAATTGGTTTTTAAAAGAAAAAAACTTACTAAAATTTACCCTAAATTTTAACGAGGATATGCACGTAACGTGTCACAGTAACATAACTTCGAATTTTCAAATTTATCGAATGAAACATTGAAATTATTACAATGAATTAAAACAAAAGATTTAACGTTAAAAGAGTACAAAACGTAAAGAAAAATTCATTTTTAGTTAGAATGTTAAAGAATAAGAGAGAATAAAATAAGTTATGTCGTTTTAACTTTTCTTTAGAAAGTAATCGGTTATCAAGATTTGGTAAGTATTCGATTATGAGCGTGCCAACCTGTGTTTGTTCACGAGATTTTCATTACGTGAACGTAAATTTAAGCGTAGAACGAGAATATTGAAAAGTATTTTGAAGGGCAAACAGGGATAGAGAGTGAATGTGGGGTCACAAGAGGCCACGTGAGGGGGGAAAGGAAGCAATGCTTATCCAAAAAGAAAGGTCGATCCCATGAAAGTGTCCTTAGTAAGGGAATGTGACCCATTTAATTCACTTGGATTTGGTGATTTGGAGCCACAGAGAGGGGCAAGGGCAGGGCAAATGGGCAATCTGAGACCCTACAAACCCATGTGCAATTATTTCTGTGGTACTTGTAGGACCATTTCCTCACCCCTAATTTTCCCCATGCAAATTGGTTGCTTGCCTCGTTCAATTTTATCCCCCAGAATAAATTCATTAAAACCACCAACTCTTCAAATAATGTGGGGTTTTGTTATTTATTTATTTATTTATTTTTGTCGTAAAAAAAGCAAAAAAGCTCACTTCCTTCACTTAACTACTTTGACACGGGAGAATGTTCGGGAACTTATAAATATTAATTATTGATATCAGTTCCTTATATTTAAAAAAATAAATAAATAAGACATCTATGTCACAATCATGTCAACTTTTCATCGTTTAATTCAATACATTTAGTAGTAGTAGAGATTTGAACCAATAATCCTTTGGTAACACATATTTATTGAGGAGTTAAACTATACTCTAAGTTGATAAATGTCTAATAATTTATGTATGAAGCCCTTGAAATTACTCCACCTAACCCTTTTGCAATTTTAAATTGGAAGCTTGAGCCTACCAGCTACAACACTGTTTACTTTGGGCTTACAAACTCAATTTTAGGTATGAAGCCCAATAATTTGATTTGGGCCTAAATGACAGCCCAATTTAGAAACAACACACAACGGCCCATCAAAAAGATATAGTTGAAATTACCATTTAACCCCTGTTTTTTTATTTTTAAGCAAACATTAAAATACAATATTAAATTAAAAAAATTAAAGAAAAAAAAAAGAAATTATTAAGAAAGCATATCGCCTTTAATAAATAAATTGTTTTCGAAAATTAAAAAAAAAAAAGAAAAAGAAGAAAAAATCATTTTGGAATAATGATATTGAAATTATTGTTTAAAGTTTCCCTCTTCCGCAGGCAACAGGTTGGCTGCAGCCTTGCATGGGCCCACTCCAATTCCAAATAATAATAAATAAATAAATAAATAAATAAATAAATAAGCAGTAAAATTTTGGTGTTATTTTCAAAAAATAGAAAATACACCAATTTTAGATGCCTTTATTTCCAATACATTTCTCAAATCTTTCAAAACGGTCCCTTTTGTATTTTATTTGGTAAATAAATAAATAAATAAATAATTGTTTTGACGTAAGAAATTTCAATTGTTGTCACTTTATTCGATAATTTTTTTCTTTTATTCTCTCACTTTATTATTATTATTATTATTATTACAATCTCATTTATTTTCCCCCCTCTCTCTTCAATTATTTTTTAAATGTTCACCCAAAAGAATAAAAAGTAGACAAGACAAAATGTCACCCGACATTTAAGTTTACTAAACTCTTTTGCCCACCGTTTTATTTGAAAGAGATGGGTAAAAGACTTAGAGAAGACGTGGCCTCCTTAACCAATAATTTTAATTTTATGGATAAAAGTGGGAAACATAAATTAACTTAGACCACGTTCAAATGAAAAAGATCCTGAAGATATAAAGAAGAAATGTATGGTTAAACATATTTTACTTAGAACCGCTCTAGGGTGATCCCTTAAGAAATTTTCCATGAGTCATTATAGTATTATTAGATTTAATAAAATATTGAAATTAGACTAATATTTATCTTCAATTAAGAATCTACTCTATATGAATTGTCCGTTTTTTATTCCTTTGGTCATATTCTTGAGACAAGATATGTTCGTTATACCATTCATGACTCGTTTAGAAAAAAGAAATTCATGGAGGGCTGGACACAAAAGATACTATAACAAATTTAGGTATTTTATCGATTTGATTAAAACATGTAAACGTTCGTCTCCTTGATAATAATTAATCGAAAAGTGAGCCAATATATTTGTCAAAATGGGTAAGGTATAGTTAAATCAGCAAGTTGTTCTCATAAGATTCCTAATCCCAACTATGTATAAAGACGAGGAGGATTGATTTTAGAAAATACTCATTATCTATGAAAAAAAAATTAATTGACTTTTTTTATTTTTATTTTTATTTTTTTAATCCTTATCCAATTTTAATTTTATTTTTATTTACATAAAATCTCTTCCAAGTGGAGATGTTTACCCAAAACCTAGCCATAGATGAATCTTACCAGTTACTCAATGTAGCTAAATAATATTTCAAAAATGGGAATCTAAGTTTTTATTTCTAAGTTTTTTTTTTTTTTTTTTTTTTTTTTTTTTTTTTTTTTTTTTTTTTTTTTTTTTTTTTT